CCAGTAATGTGAACCCCTTGCATGACTGGCAGGCTAAATTGTTGCTAATTCTCTTAATTTTGCAATGAGTGACTTTGCATTGGAGCCCTCTCTTTATCACTTTTAATGCAAACGCTTTATCATTTCAAGTAATTACCACTCACAGCAAATGCTTTCACGTTGCCAGCCAGTGCAATGTGTAATCATTCCTGACCCACTCGGTGATCTGCTCCTATTAAGTATCTGAACTGCATAATGCGAGGGCCTGGCCGCTAAATAATTAATGAGAATAAATTGCACCAAATGCAACCTTCATTTCTCTGAGCGGAGCGCTATAATAACATAGATTTTAACCGCCTGGCTCCAATGTCACGACTGGGCAGCGAGCAAGACCAAAGCAAACATAAACACTCACACACCACATATATTATAGTTTCTTTTTTCACTAAATGTACAGATAATACATGACATGGAAGATAATGCAATTTACCAAATTAGTCAATTTTACATATATTTCATGTCTGTCCTTTGAAAAAATGACCTTGGAGTGCTTATGCAGTATACTTCTACTTCTATATACTTCTACATAATCACACAATTATGCAATCCAGTTCCAGGAAATGGTGTGATTTGCGTATGAAAATTTGAGGAATTCTTAAAAAAAATAAAAATAGTAATATGTACATGTTAAAGTATGTGACACAGGTTAGCCCACTGGTGAACCCTGTTTTACTAATTTGTGTTACTTTAAATTTTCTTGTTAATTTATCATAGAGACACATCATTTCCTAAAAGTGAGCCAAAAACCTTTTTATTCCTCCTGGTCTTTCTCTGCATCATTAACATTGCTCTCTGTTGGAGAAATCAGTGCAATGGCTGAATCAGGACTGTACACGCAGTAATCGGCCATTATTCACACTACATCACAGGCCATAGGAACAGGCAGAGCCCGGCTGCCTACACTATATAAGTTTCCATATGAGTCATTTCCAAACTAAACTTCTCCGAACCTCAGCCAAGAAGGGTCCCATGAGTTAGGAAAGGAGGTGGAGGCAAAGAGATGGAAAGGACAAGGCAAGGCAACATAAACTCACTCACTCCTTCCTCAGGAGATGGGGGTTGTTTGTGCAGCGGTCGGCTCCTGTGAGGGTGGCTTGGGCGTTGAGGACTTACTCTGTCATCTTCAAATATTTTCAACAAGCCATGAAGATGTTATCTTTTTAAGCCTTGTTATAAGATGAAGAAGAAGATAAGAAAAGCTTCTTCATAATACAGGTTTTCACAGGCAGCACCACAGAAGACAATAAGCTACTCACTAATGCTTGTACTAATTGCTAAGTTTTAAAGTTTTAAAATACCAGGAAATTATGTCTGGCTGGTACAATAGGTTGAGGTCACAAATGTTTTCATGGTAAGGTCCACCTGGAGAGGTATAATCAAACTTGAGACCTGCCAAAAACATTTTAAAAAGCCATTATTATGCTATAAGAATAGGTTTGCAGGTCAAAAAACACTTCAATTTGCTCATAATAAACATTGCAGCATCACCTCTTTTCTCACACTGTCTGAAACTGTTCGATAAAGGATTGAGTCTCTCTAAACGTATTTCTGAGAGCCTACTCTGCTCTGATTGGTCAAATAACCCAGTCTGTTGTGACTGGTTTACCTCTTATAGCGGGTATCGGAAATGTATTTATCGGAAATCTGAATTTCGGTTGTGAACATATTTACATTTATTCATTTTTATACATTTATTCATATTTTTGGATATTCATTCTTTTATCCAAAGCTATGGGGAAAAATGAGAACAATATAAACAGTTAAAATACACTGTAAAAAAAAAAAAAAAGTTCAATTTACGGTAAAATACCGGCAGCTGTGGTTGCCAGAACTTTACCGTATAAAATACGGTAGCAAGACTTTACACTAACAAGGTTTTACAGACTTAACTTAAATTTAGGCTACAGAAATAAACCGTATTTTATTATCTGATATAATGTTAAACACACATGAAATTTTAAAAAGGCAATAAACATTAATTTAACAACATTGAATGTCACATAAAACCCTAATGTACATACCTGATTAGAAAAAGACTAAGCAAACTATAAAGAAACAAGTTATTTCTACAAAAATACATCAAATGCGAAGTGTCACGCAGGGAATTACGGGAATGTCCATTTACAGTTTTTCACTGTAAATTATACGAGTTGTTCATTTTCACTTTAAAAACTGTAAATTTAATGGTATTTTACAGTAAAATTACATTAAATTTACCATTAGATCTGTTCTGTTAACCAATTAACAGTTTTTCACTGTAGCATTTTTACCTGTTAAAATCAGGATCATTTTTTACAGTTATGCGAGTGCTATGACCCTTCCCAGTTTAATCTAACATAATTGAACAGTAACAATGTCATTGTTCACAGGCAAAGAGGACCATGGCATTATGCAAATTTGTAACAAATCTATATATGTTTGTGCAGGAAGTAAAACTAGAATTGCACCGGTAATATTCATGTAGTGAGCACTATTAGAAGAGTAAAAATGGAGAAAAATTGCTTTTGTTTTTAGTAATGAAACAAGCTATGTTTGCTATATATTGAATATTTTTTTAATGTTTAGGATTTGGCTTAAACACCACCATTCTCAAATTTTGTGCAACACACTTTTTTGCCACAGATGCATTCATCTGATGTTTCATAATGTATTGTAGTCTTTAAATTCCATCTAATATTCTGAATTCATATAGTATAGTAGCCTATATTGATGGCATTTGCTTGAAACATGGCTTAGAATCCACAAAACAACCATTTTGATATCATCGAAATCTTTAAGCACGGCCATGTTGGAAATTTTCCGATGGCCTTCGCCTGTTTCTTCTTCTTCCATAATTTACATGAATTTTCTTTGATGATAAAGTCTTAACTTTTCCCTGACCAAGACTCTCAAGCTTTCAGGAATATGATAATGCAATGTGATGTGATTTTGCCCAATGCTGACCGTATTATTCTTCGACCAGCTCTGACCTTTGATGGGAATGGATCTTATCATCTCCAGGCGCCACCTCTCTTGGGAGCCTTTAGGATTTCACAGGCATACCAATCATCTGCCGTCCAAGGGAAGGAAGCTTTAGGAGACAGTTATGCTTATAATATTGGCGAAGAGTTATAGCACTACTTTTGTATTTCGGCTCTGAGTCACATATCTTTCATTTCACAGCTTTATGTTTGGTGCTTTTTTCCCCCCCTCACTGGTTGGAGAGTCACTGTTTATAATTTAGAACCCACTTCTATCCTCTTTAAATTACAAAGTAAACACTTATTTGAAGATGATGGGTAAATGTGTCCTGTACCTGACTGCCTATTGACTACCATAGAGAATAATTGTCCGTCAGATGATAAAAACAAAACAAATAACCAGCATGCAGATCTCATAGAATTTGCATGTATTTCTTTCTCTCAATTTCTCCCTCTCGTCGTTCTTGTAACGCTCTGAATTGATATGCTCATTTCGAGCCACAGTGTTATCGCTCTGTAAGCTGAGAGGGGCCTTTACGGGGTCAGTTTGGAGTGATACGGTCGTTTTGAGCTCTGCTGAGGTCTGCAGGGCCCCTGAATAGTTTGCGTGAGGATTTGCAGGAACTGTTGGCGTGGAAGATGGCTGTCTAAAATACCAGAACCTTTAAGAGCAATGTGTTATGCCAACCTGCCAGCAGGCTTGTAGTAACTCTACAGAGTAAAAGGTTCACTACAATAACATCCAGATGGTTGAAAAAGGATTGAATATGAATATTAGCCTTCTGCAACAGTGTAATTGCATTTGATGTCAGAGAAAGCCCATATTTTCATTTACAGGTTTACACAGTCGCTGATCACAGTTCTGTACAACAATGTGATTTTTCGTAACGTCAACATGAAATCATTTTTTATTATAAATGATTTACCCATGCACATTATTAATATTTTTTAAATTCATGTGACATCATAAACCCCTACCTCTTGCATGGAATGACCTGTTTACTGGCATTATTCACAACCTGTGAATAACATAAAATCACAGCAATAGCAAACCACAACAATTCCCGATGGACAAGACCAAGTCCAAGCCTACTTTTTTTCCCGAGAAGCTGTTCACTCGAAAAGAGGACAGTTCTCTGAAGAGAACACTATTGCAGCTTCCATTTCACTTTATTGGAGGATGAAAAAGAAACCGAATTTTCAATTGTCAAAAAATGCCTTTACTGGACTTTGAAAGTCAATTAGTGTTACATTGACTGGTGATGCTTCAGGTTAGATAGTGTATGCACTGTGGAGTTGCTTGAATATTAAAAAAAAAAAAAAAAAAACCACTTCACTTATTGTTTTTTTCTTCTTCCACCATCTATTTCAATATCTTGGAGAATGTCATTATTCCATAAAAGAGCTGATGGAAGGCAGAGAAATGACCCACCTCAGGCAGAGTCTTTTCTTTCTCACTCTCTGCTGATCATGATGCATAACTCCTCAGTGTAGGGGTGGAAAAAAATCATCTGCATTCCCCTCCCCAAAACAGCATTAAGTGAATGAGATGTCTGTTGGCTTTCAGATAGAAATTGGCAGGGCTTCTGGCATATATTTCATCAGTGGTCCAGCCTCGCCTCCATCCCAGGGAATTAATGGCAAGGATTTTCATGAATGTGAAAGCAGCACAGCTTGGCAACCCCGCACAATAACTGAAAATGCGTGAGCATACTTTCTGAGTATGTATATGCTACTGCTTTGCTTGGGTGTGTAATTCTTTATTAGTGTGTGTGTGCTTAAAGATGAGAGAAAGTGAAGGCATTGGTGTGAGGTATCCCCATTTTAAACTAAAATTGGTCATATTCCCAAATGTTAACCTGATTATCATCTATAGCAATCCAATAAGCGAGTGTTAGCCAATCAGAGAACTCGAAAGAGAATCTAAGCCAATGGCGTGAGCCCTTTGGAAGAGCTAGATGTAAACAGAAGAGGCAAGGTAGAGAGGAGTGAATGTGAATTGGGAAATCTGTTTGAAAACGGTTTAATGGCTCAGAAATCGTGTACAGCAGCTGTAAATGCAGACAAACAACAAGTCCTGATGGCAAGCTGTCAGTTTGGGACTGAGACCAGTACGTATTAACCGTATTTTAGCCGAGTAGCAGCTACGCTGACTGAATAAAAAGTTGCCATTCTCTACCTTTCGATTAATAGTGACTGACAATGACGTTAGGGTTTTATTGTGTATTTAAAGGTTTGATTCTACGCTCGCACGGTAGCTAACGTTAAAACCTGGTAGGCCTATTATTGCAATTTTTGGGATAAACCATAGAATGAAACGGATTGTAGGCTATTGTTATTGTTTTCTCTATTGTTTTCTCTAGCTCTTATAACTTCCCAAATGTTTGGAAATCCAGAAGTCTTTGGCTACTGTTGTTTATATTTTGACATTTCTAAATTGTAAGTTTCCTTCTTCGTATTATATCATTATTTTAACTTTGTTTTAGCCCAAAAAGAGTTTTAGAAGACGTTTAACAGTGGATGTTTTTTTTCAATGGAATTTCTCTGCCATCTAGTGGTCACAATTCCTATATCTGATTTTAGTTTGTTCACTGTGTGGTTTTGTGGGTCAGGTTTTGCCCTACATTAGGGACCAAAAATTCCAACATGAATAAGAAGACCATAATCAACCTCTTTGTGGCTAACAGTTCCCACAGAGAAGTCATCTTATATGTTCTAAATAATGTTGTAATGAAAATAATAGAAATTCAAAAAAGTATTGTGTGATAATAATAGTATAAAAACTCAAACAAATAAGAACAAATGTGTATGTGTTATCTTGTGAACAATACAGTCACAATCACACTTCAGCAACCCACTGATAGTCATTCATTGAAGAATAGCGTGAAGTGATGTGATTGCTTGTGACACTTAGTGTTGGTGTGCCAATTTGTAACACATATAGCTCAGTTTCATTCATTTTCATCCTCATCATCATAGTTGACAGTCCTCTGTCTAGCTACTACATTTGACATACGCAGACTGCTTTTCTCTGCCACTCTTCGCCCGCTCTCAGCCATGAAAGCCAAAGTGTGTCTATCTATCCCCACAGTCTATCTGGTGCTCACATTTGCATATTTATTTTCTAAACAGACTCCATGCTAAGGAGATTCTATTTTGAGGCTTAGCTGGAAAGATGTTGCACTCAGGAGATCATTAGGAGCATGGCAGATGTCTTACCACATGTTAATTAATTCCCCTTATTAAAGTGGCCAGAAACTGTCTGTGATTAGTGATTAGTTTTTGATACTCCAGAATATAGCAGCGCTGCCTTTGACTTTACAGTATGTATGTCAGTATCAGTCATATGCATATACATGCAGGTCAGTGATTTTGACTGTGTTCTGTATGCTCTAATTGCGGCAAGTCTGTAGGTGGCGGCACTGTTTTAAGGACAGGCAGGAGGCTAAACAATTTTTTTCCCCCTAGAATGCAGAGAGAAGTTTACTACTAATTCCAGACTCATTTACAACACACCTACAATTTATTTATTTTTACTTTGAAGCCTTTAAATCTATCTGTATAATTTAAAGGAACAATTTATGGAAAAAACGAAGATTTATTAGTATTTACTCACCCACCCTTATGGTGTTTCTTTCTTCCGTGAAGCACAAAAGGACATTTTGTGGAATGTCTTCTCTTTTTGTTTTACATACAATGAAAGTATCTCCAAAAAAAGATAATATACTGTAAAATCAGTCATTAAAGACCCATGAGCTATATACAATATATTCAGAATAAACAGCAGTATATTCACAGTAGCTCTCAAATCTTATTTGCACATTAAAACATTGGACCTCAAGGCATGCCACACACATTAAAATCTGATAAGTTTGTGTTAAATTGTCATTAATTCTGAACATCATTTGATTTCAGATAGATTTCCTTCTGTGTTCAATGGAAAAATGAAATCATACCGGTTGGACTGACATGAGGGTGAGTAAATCATGATTTTACATATTTTTGGAAGGCAAACTTTTCCTTTAACTCACACTTTGAATAATCTCCACATAAAATACCATTCAAAAATCTGTTTTTATGCTCACCACGGCTGCATTTATTTGATCAAAAATCCAGTATTTACAGTAATACTGAAATATTATTACAATTTTAAGATGAACTTTTCTATTTTAATATTTTAAAATGTAAGTTATTCCTGTGATGGCAAAGCTGAATTTTCTGCAGCCATTATTCAGAAATCATTCTAAATTCAAGAATTATCAATGTTAAATACAGACGTGATTCTTAATATCGTCTTAATATATGTGAAACCGGAATACCTGTTTTTCAGGATTCTTTGATCAGAATTCTTTGAATCTTTTTTTAATTTTTGATAAGGCGAAAGATGCGATAATCATATGTTTTCGTGTAACATGTTCCTTGTAGACATATAGATCGATGTGCATGGAAGTCAGCAGGACTACATTTGCTACATCATACTGCGGTGCTTCACCAGGATATTTCATTAAAAGAGAATGGTATTTATAGGCTATCTGTCTGAATAATTGATCTGAAAGTTGAAAAAGCTCAGGCCGAGAGCTAGCTAGGACCGCTCAAAGCCTGTGAGCAGCAGGCCTGTAGACGAAGTTATTAGAGCAGAAGCTGTCTTCAAAGGGGAAGCAGAAAGCAACGTATTTTATAGCAGCAAAATTCCAGAGAGGCTTGACTCGTTCATTTCATTCTCTTGATTAATCTAAGTGAATGCTTATTTAAGACTTTTTAGAGCATTAAGTTTGTCCAATGCTGATTTCTAAGATGATATTGGTTATTATATCATCTTTTTGTTATAAGGCGGTTGTTCAGTTTTGTGCGCTTGATCTGATTTGATCTTGCATTTGGAGATTTGCAAATGTAAGTGGTGTTTTCCTGTTAGAAGTCCCATCTCAGATAAAGATATAGATCCCAGTAACACTTTATTTTGATGGTCCAGTAGACATTCTAACTATAAGCAACTTTGCAACTACATTTACATTTGTTCATTTAGCTGACGCTTCTAAATGAAACGCCTCTGGAGCAACAAGGGGTTAAGTGTCTTGCTCAGGGACACATTGGTGTCTCACATGTGTCTTATCCACTGCGCCATCACCACCCCAACTACATGCCAATTAACTCTCATTAGAGTATTATACTTTATATTGATGGTCCCCCAACATACCTTCCTTTGACTATAAGTAATTTAAGTAACAACATGTCAACTTACAGTATCTGAACCCTAACCTAACAGTCTACCACAGTCTGCGAATACTCTAATGAGAGTTGACATGAAGTTCCATATTTACTTATAGTTAGTAGATTGTCTAAAGTGGACCATCGAAATGAAAGTGTAGATCCCTTATTATTCAAAATAAAAGTCATGCAGCTAAATTGTGTTATTTAATTGTTAGCAAACATTTTCTAAAAGCTGTGAAACGCGGTCACGATATTTCGTTAACCATATTCCCATCAAACCTTGGTACAGATGGTAATCAAGCTTGTGAAAGCTAGGTCTCCATTGCATTTGACTGTGATAAGCACCACGCAATTGAAATATCATGAAATGTCACATAAATATTCAGCCTGCTCCTCTGCTGGGCTACGCCAGAGCTGGACAACAACAGATGTGCTCTTACAACTTCATTCGGATCCAACAACATCACCATAATTATGTAAATATGGTAATTGGGCATCTGTTGCCTGGAGTCATCTCTTGCTTTGACAGCTTCTCACATGTCCTTTCTCTATCTCTGTGGTATCTCTCTTGGGTCTGCGATCTGCCCGTTAAATTCAACATATGGCTCTTAGATGAAAGAACACCGAGACGTTTAATAAATGATCATGATTCATATATAAGATGTAGCTTGAAGTGATTGTGAATCCTCTGGTTCGTGATTTGGTTCATTTAGAGGTGAAGTGTAAGAGCTATTATCCAACTATTATAGTGCTGCTTTTGAATGATTTTGATAATGAACTAGATGAATTTCTTAATGTAGTGTTTGTGTTGGAAAAAAAACCAGTTTGTGTTGTAAGGGGAGGCAGGAAGGTTGATATCAGGTGAGCTTTCGAGGGGAATATCCTCCTGTGGCACTTTGTGATAAATCTTTAAATCCCTTTTAAGCTAGTCAGAGTCCCATCTCTCTCTTTGTAAAGCTTCTCATCTCTCTCTTATGGGAAATCCATCAGCCTCCAGGCAAACTGTCTGTCTGATCTCCCACTCTGTTGGTCTAGTAGTGAAAATGAAGTCAGTAAAAGCCACACTGCATCTTCTGTACATAGTTGAAATGATAATTAATGTTCTTTCCATTGATTCTAATGGGAACATTTTGGTGACTCATGTAACACATTACTGATAAAAAAAGAAAAATGGTGAATATATATGTATATATATGTATATTAATCAAATTGCAGTTTTCCACAATTGCTTAGGCACTAAACCCCATTCTCTGATTCTCAAAGTCCTAAAACCATATGTCGAATAAATCACTCTCTCTGCAAAACCTTAATCAAGATAATTTGCAAATCTCATGCACTTTTTTTTGTGAAACTCCAAAAACATTCTCACACACTAAAACACATTTTGCATTCTCATGCGTTTTGATTGAAATCTGTTTGGGGGAAGACTGGAAGAGTCATCCACATATTCGCAGCGGCATTTTGATAGTAGTTCAATTCTGCCTATTGTTCATAATTGACCAGCACAAATGGAAATTATAACAATTGGTAAATCTGATAAAAGACAGACAAATAAATAAATAGTTTAATATATTTCATAAATCTGTCAAAAGATAAATATAAATTTGGCCCCAAACAAGTCAACAGAACAGCAGTGCTCAATGTACATACTCAGTCATAAATATTTGCCCTGTGTGTGTGTGTGTGTGTGTGTGTGTGGCTCCTACTTAAAACACCTTGGCCTAAGGCCAGCCATTTTCACAGTCATGATGGATGATGGGGTTATCCAAAGCCAAACTGTTCCTAGTTTTGGTTTTGTTCAAACCCACTATGGGGAACACCTTCTGTGCATCTGCATGTGAGTGGGGAAGAACTAAAACCAGTTTGGCAACAACCTTTTCTAAATCTGTTCCAACCGGTCACCTTTAAAGGGGTCATCGGATGCCCATTTTCTACAAGTTGTGATGATTCTTTAGGGTCTTTGTATCATACTTTGGTTAAAATTCCTCAATGGTTGTGTCGTTGAGAACAGCTGTGTTCCCAGCGACCCATTTGGGTGTGTGTCTCTTTAAATGATAATGAGCAACTGCCGTGGGGCGTGTCAACACAAGGCACCTGCCTTGGCTTTTGCAAGGATTTTTTTCAGTGCATGATGGTTGTGTCCACACAATGCAAAGACACATTTATATGCAAACACCATATAAAAGGGAATTTTGCATCCGATGACCCCTTTAAAAGCAGTTGGAGAGTTTTTGACTGCCTCAAAAATAATTTAACACGAATTTGGCTATGTTCGTTGTCACCGTTTTCACACCGGCTCAAAATTGTTCACAATTGTTTCTAATGATGCGATCAAACCAACTGTACAAACTACTGTATAAACCTACAAATACAGGTTGGCACTGGTGCACTGAATGTTGACTTGAACAATGGATGGAAAAAATATGAGCAGGAGAAGAGTATGTGTAAGAGGAGGAAGAGGATGAGGTCAGGTGTGAGTACAAGACTGGATCCGGCACACTAGCGTTTTTTTTTTCCTGGCAAAAGACAGCATTGCCTATGATGTGGATAAAGTTGCCTGGACCCAACACAAAGGAGATGATGCTGAGGCAGAATGAATATTTCATTGACTGATTTTGCAGTTGCACAACTCTTTTGTGTGTACTGTAAAATAATATTCATGAAAGGAGTAGTTCACTTTTAAAAAACTTTTGCTGATAATTTACTCACCCCCATGTCATCCAAGATGTCCATGTCTTTCTTTCTTCAGTCGAAAAGAAATTAAGGTTTTTGATGAAAACATTCCAGGATTTTCTCCATTAATGGAGTTCATTCGGGAACCAAATGGTTCAAGGTCCAAATGAGAGTTTCAGTGCAGCTTCAACGGGCTTTAAACGACACCAGACGATGAATATGGGTCTTATCTAGCGAAACGATCGGCCATTTAACAAATAAATAAAAAAGTTTAAGTTTTATAAGCACAAATGCTCGCCTTGCCCTGTTCTGTGATGAGCGTTTGTGACTCTCCTGTTCGAACTCGTTCATCAAAATGAACAAATCTCTTTTCGAGTCATGACTCGAAGGGTCCTAGATAAGACCCTTATTCATCGTCTGAAATCGTTTAAAGCCCTTTGAAGCTGCACTGAAACTCTCATTTGGACCTTGAACCGTTTGGTTCCCAATGAAGTCCATTATATGGAGAAAATCCTGGAATGTTTTCATCAAAAACCTTCATTTATACATATATATATGTCGACCTGTGAAAGGGGCAAGTGTAAATCTGAGCAGCTAATGCAAGTTAGCCAGCTGATAAAATCTGTGAAAAAGACAACATGCTGTATGATCATGCCTTGATCTACAACATTTGTAACAGAATATATTCTCACTCCTCTCATTAGTAGCTAGTGCCTGAGCTGCTGTGATGTGCACGCTCATTCAAGTGAAAAGCTTTCATTAACGCCTCGTGAGGAGGAATTCTCCACTCAATTAGTGTGAGCACCAGTAGCTTCAGCTAGACGTCATGCAGACGCGCGCGGTTAATGACTGTGTCCCGCTGCCCACGTGCAGGTGTGGGCAACAGTAATAGAGCCGGGTAAGGATCAAAGATTCCTTCATGGCGGAGAAGGACAGGCTGCCTTTGAAATGTGCAAAAGCGATCCTATGGAGCTTGTGTCCTCAAAAAGAGCAAATTTGAAGCTATTTATTTCTCTAAATTGTAAGGGAAACCAGGGCTTGTGCGCCTCGTTAATTTTTGCGAGTCAATTTCTGGATATGTTGTTATTGAATAT